TGATTATCGGTTTTGATCACAAAAGACCGACTCGACTAAGTCTTCAATTCTTGATCTTGTCCTTGAGTCTTTTAGGTCTTGTTCCAAGCCATTCTTCACGCCTTGAGTTATTCAACGAAACTCTTCATATCCACGGCGGTTTGGCAATTATCAAAACCTGTCAGAAATGAACACGACTTTAGTTTAACGTACAATGTGTTCCAACAAATTTACAGAGTGGGTTGCGAGTATTGGCGATGGTCTTGCAGGGCAAGAGAATGATGGAGTTGCTGAGGTCATTATCCCAGAAGACATGTTGTTAAAAACTATAGGTGATCCAGTTACATCTATAGTAAATTCAACATATCCAGACTTCCACAATATTGCAAATGATCCAGTGTATTTGCAGAGTCGAGCAATCCTCGCACCAACACTAGAAGTCGTGGATGAAATTAACGAATACATGACGACGCTAAATAACGTCGGAGAAGCTAAGAGTTACTTGAGTTCAGATGCAGTTTGTAAATCAGATTTAAACGTAGACTTTCTATCGGACATGCATTCCCCGGAATTTCTGAATAACATACGAGCATTTGGTGTACCGAACCATGAGTTGAAGTTAAAGATTGGAACACCAATCATGATGTTGAGGAATATTGATCCATCTTCGGGTTTGTGCAATGGGACAAGGTTGATTGTTACCCGACTTGGTAATCATCTTATTCAAGCTACTGTGCTTACGGGGAAAAATATTGGGCAAGAAGTCGTTATCCCGCGATTGTTGCTTACCCCGTCATATACGAGAATTCCTTTTAAGTTTCAAAGGAAACAGTTCCCAATTATGATTTCATATGCCATGACAATTAATAAAAGTCAAGGGCAATCATTGTCTCAGGTTGGCCTTTTACTTAAGAAGCCGGTATTCAGCCATGGTCAGCTTTACGTCGCGCTTTCACGTGTCACAAATCGCAGAGGTCTAAAGATCTTGAATGCAATGATGACCAAAGCAAGATGAATCAAACTACCAATGTAGTTTATAAAGAAGTTTTCCAAAACGTATAATGTAATGCTTCCTTCATTTGTATTATTGTATACTTCCTCCCCTTTAATATTTCATGTTATATTCTTATTTTAATTGAATCATATCGAATTCCAACATGAATAATTTCTCTAATTATTGTAACTTTTTTTACGCCGTGCAACGCACGGGTTCGAGTCTAATTCTTTTAGAGTTCGGAGTCTTCGCTCCCTATTTCCCTATTTTCAAAAGAAGGGATTAACTCAATTTATTGTTAAGTCACTTTGTGCCTAATTACAATGTTATATACTCCGTATAAAGTAAACCCGTGGTTACTTATGTCGCCATTATCCAACATTGTCTCGTCTCAGACAAGAGAGAGAAATGAGAGGAGAGTGCCGGTGTTGGTTTCATCGCCGGCTAATACCTGCGAGTGATACGACACGGACCGCGCAGGAGCTCTCTATACATCAAGGGCAACCCGATCTGTGGAAAATCGCACCTAAAGGAGAACATCTCAGGTATAAATAGGTGTAGTTTCTAGGAAAAAATTTGAACACTTGTTATTTGAAAAATTTTATTTCAAGATTTTTCTTTGCGATTTTAGATGGCAGATGAAGAGCCTAAGTTGATTTAATTTATTAATTAAATGTCTATTCAACATAAATTATGTGCATGGTCATTCCTTCAAGATAATTTTTGTTAGTAATCAGATTTTATTTTATTTCTTCTATTGAAAAATCTTATATTTACACTTCAAGTGTAATTGTACATATATTTTCTTTCTTTTTTTTCAATTTGTGCAAAACCACAAATTGATGATTATAATATGAACTTAGGCCTAAAAGAATTAATATCTATGTATCTTGAAAATTGTGTTATTTATTTGTAGGATTGAAATGTTTCTTACAAAGTTTTTCTTCTGGTTCACTGCAGTTGCATTTCAATAAATGTCATATTTTGATTCTGAACTCTGTAAAAGACCAACTTGTGGTTAAGTATGGAGTATATTTTGAGTGTGCTCTTTTATGGGTCTATGATTTTTTTTGTAACAAAAGCACTCATCCAAGTCAGTTCAAATAGTGATGCCAATTAAATTAATTGGGCCTTTCAATGTATGTTTCTGTTTTAATTTGTGTTAAATGACAGGTTCATGTATTGGCAATAAGTGGTATTGGCAATGAATAACGGTGCAGTAGTTTTTGGTGGTTCAGGTTTGATTTCCTCTTTTGTGTATTCTGTTTCATTTTTTAAGTAGTAGATTATTTCGGGTTTAAAGGACAATGTATTTAAGTATATTTGAGCAAGATATCTAAATTTCAACATGCCTTTTACGTGTGAGTTTGAAATATGAAAGCTCGTATCCTCACAGGGTATGTTGATGGTTCTTAATTTCATGGTCCTCTGCATTTGAAAAGAAATAACCTATTGCGTACTATTATTTCATTTGATTTTTTGACTGTTGGTGCATGGAATATAGAAATGACAACAAATAAGACCTAAAAGTTGTTTTCTACTTCAAACTTAATACGAGGAATAGCAAGATTTCAAAATGTAATTTTGATATGGAACATAAAAGTTTCTATCATTAATAAGTGAGAAACATACGACACTTAACATGATATTTTGGTAAGAAAATTAGGAAATAGGTACCGAAAATATGGTAGTCTTTTAAAGGGGTATTAAGACAGAAAAACAGGTTAAAGTAAGGGATTTAGGTGTTTGGATCAGGTCAATCTGTAAACATGCTTCACTCTTTCTGAATCTCTACACTCACTTTGGATTTCTTTTTGAACTGATATTTTCATTTTAATGCTTGAAGTGCTTGGGTTCGCATCAGTTTCTTGATACTTAAATGCATCATCTTTAGTATTGCCCTCACATGGAGACACATCAACTTGTTCATTCATAGATTTGCATGCTTTACTCTTAACAGATTCCTAACAATAAATGATACTTTGTTAGAACATATTAATGATGTAATAACTTATAAAATTAAAGTAATACCTGTGTGGTAGTGGATTCAGTTGTGGAATGGGCTAATATTTTCTTACCAGTAATAATCTGTTCAACAATGAAGTTCTTTTCATTCAGAGTCAATTCTGACAGTTTGACTTCAATTTTGAACAACAGTGGCTGATCAACATTGGAGTTAAACGCTTGTGGGATTTGAATATCCTCTCTCTGATTTTTAATATTTCATCACATATTTTATAATAAATCTTACTATGTACATGTAAATCAATTATTGCAAATTCTAGAAACAGACTCAGAGTATCCTTAAAAAAGCTTCGGCTTGTTTTCCAAAGAGTGGAATGCAATGTTTATCCCACAACATCAACGCAAGGTCGCCGGAGTCATCAAGTGCATATACTTTTAACAGCCTCACAGTATCCTTAAAAAAGCTTGTTTTCCAAAGAGTGGAATGCAATGTTTATCCCACAACATCAACGCAAGGTCGCTTGAGTCATCAAGTACATGTGATTTTAAGTGGTACCTGGTTCATTTTTTTAAAGTAATATTTAGTAGGAAGCCTGGAAAAAAAATTAAATGTAATTTTTGAAGAAAATGGAGAGTACCTCAAAACAACACCCAACAAGTTACATTTGACACAATAATAGTTTCCATCAAAAGAGGTTAGTTTCCTAGAGCAATGCTTACATGATGTATAACACCATGAACCAAGTTGTTCAAAACTTCAAATCCAACAATCTTAACCAACACCCAGGCACGGTCCTTCTGTAATATAATAGTAATTTTAACACTTAGGGTTATGAGAAATAAATTTTCTTTGGTGGTTTACTGTTACACAAAAAAGTGTGATGTTGAAATGCAATCTTGTATGTGCTTATTTGTGTGTAACCAAGTTCAATATAAAGGCAACGGTAAGTATAATAATTATATTTCTTTATGTGCAGGCTTCTCGAACTCTGAAAATTGAGTTTTCAAGGGATCTGACATGGATATGAGTGCAATTTTCTGTATGAGTAGCAAATGGTTTAGTGAGGTAATCTTTCTAATTCATACAATTATCTTCTTTAACTGAATATTATATTCAGTGACATGTTCAAAGTTTTCTTTTTTAAATAGAAACAAATTAATTAGTTTTAAAACAAAAGGTAAATTTATCAACAATTTTAGACAAAAAAACAGATTAATCTGTTTGTTTGGTCAACATGTTCGAAAAGCACAGGCTTTTGTGTTTAAAAAGTTTTCTTTGAATCTACTCTAAATTTATGGTAAAAGCGCTTTAAAGAGGACTTATTCTACATTGAGTTTTTTTTTTTGATTTTTTTACATGTATTTAAACATGAGAAATGATCTTATTATGAATTAAGTAGAAAATATTAAATAGATATTCTTAGAGAATAGGTCACTGTTTGTTAAAGTGGTAATGTAGTGAGACAATATGTTTATATACCTCAAAATTTTCAACAATATAATCTCTTCTAAAGTGTGTACATCAAATGTTGGAGGGCCTGTGCGCGATGAAGATGCACTCATGCTAACCACCTCTTGAGTAGAGATTCCCCTTGCCAATAACCTATACCAACTTCATTTATTTAGTGCTAGCTATAAATTTAGTAAACAATATAGTTCAATAAGGTATACTCATAACGCTTACTGTTTTTCAAACTCTAATATAGATGGGTAATTTTGATCCAAGATGAGTTTGGTAACATAAAAAAAGTCGAAGCCTTGTTCATCTCTACAACCACTAATATAATTTCGTTAGTATTAGATGTAACTTTTTTTTATTTTAAATATGTTATACCTTGAAATACCGTTTACTTGCAAAATAACAACAGGATGAAGTGGTTGTTCTTCAAGGAAATCCAACAATTGATCAACATAAGAACCCCATAGTGTGCATGAAATTCTCTTGCCCCTGCATTTAAACATTAATTTAAGAAAATTGTATAGCACAAAGTATACAAAACAAACCGTAGGAAATGTTGTTCATCTTCAAGGAATATATCCATCATTCTAACTTCTCCTACATGTTTTTCAAATCCATTGCTTGGTGGTTGATCAACATGCAACAATCCAATAAGATACAAAGTTTCAAAAGAGCTCTATTACAAACCAAAAGAAAAACGTATCACTTAAATATAGTGTCCTCAATCTTGCCATCGACGTCCACCGCGCAATCACTTAATCATATTTTCCATAATAACCAAACATGACACCATATTGAATATCTGTGGCATCGTTGAGCACTTTAAAATTAGCAAACTTGAACCGTCTCGGGGAATGGTTCATCATTGACATCCGATATAGTTGTGTCCTTAACCAATGATAACTTGTAATTATAATCAATCAAGTTTTGAGTATTTTTGGATACAAAGGGATTCTGTATTCCATGTATTTGTCCTTTCAGTAGAGGCTTAAAGCGTGATATCAACGTCTATTTCCAAAAAGCATGTATGTGATTTTCCTACAGTAAAAAAATTAGAAAGTGAATGCTATGTTTAATGATGTATTAAGAAATCAATATGAACCTGCTCATCTTGAAATTTGATTCGTGGGCATAGGCTGTGTTTTTCACTCTTTCTTAACTTGAGATCATAATGATGCAGGAGATGAAGTTTCACAGTATCCTGATGTCTAGCAGCGTGAAGCCTGTTGAGAGAGACCCTGTTCGGAGCCATGTTTACAGGAGAGTGACAATTGTAGAGAGAAAAGAACAGGTCGGACTTTACAAATATATGGAAGACATCGGGAAAGAAGCGGGGGATCATTTGGCAGTTTGACGAAGAAGTTGATGCTGTGCGTAGAGGCTTGCGCGACCCTATGTTCACGCCGCGTAGAGATTCGTGAAAGGGCAGTTTTGTTTTTTTAAATTATCTACGGTTTTTTAAGGATTTGGGGTGAAAATCAAGGGCCTAGGTTTATCTAATCTAAACAAAATTAAAACTGCTACCTAACCATTCACCATTACAGGTATCACACCGGTAATTTGTTCCTCAGCCGTCATCACTCATCAGCACCGACTCCTACCACTAGATCTTGAAGATAAGCTCAAGATCACTCAAAATATTATTTATAATTTTTATGTTAACTTTTTTGTGACATTACTAAAATCATTGTACTTCATTCGGTGAAATCCTGTAAACTACTTTGCTTATTTACCACACAACAAAATTAGCATTGTATTCAATACTATAAATAATACTCATGCTAATCTTGTTGTGTGGTACATAAGCAAAGTAGCTTACAGGGTTTCACCGAGTGAAGTAGAATGATACGTAGTATTAGTCATGTCACAAATAAAGTTAACATAAAAACTACAAATTATATTTTGAGTGATCTTGGGCTTATCTTCAAGATGTAGTGGTGGGAGTCGGTGCTGATAAGTGATGACGACTGAGGAAAAAATTAACGACGTGGTACCTGTAATGGTGAATGGTTAGGTAGCAGTTTTTAAGATTGTTTCTAAATTGCTCTTATTTTGTTGAATACTACAAGATCTTACAATCAAATTTAGTCCACCCAACCCTTGGGTTTTCCAAGTCATATGTAATGACCTTGTCCCTCATGACACGTTCTGCAAAGAATAAAAGAAACATAATCAAAGAAATGATGGCTTGCGATACTAAATATTATATATAAAAACAATATATATGGGGCAACTTGAGAAAATGAGAAGTGCTTCAAAGTTAAATTTAAGATGTGTGTGACTCACACTAGGTAGGTATCACGTCTGAGGTAATCCCCGGGCCTCATAACCATTGGTGAACCTTCTTTTAAATTCAATGTTATAAGTGGAAATGCATCATATGGGCTAGATGCAGAAATAGAAACAATGTCAATTTTAAAAGACTTCAAAATAAAAGGTACTCCCCCCGTCCTATTTATAACGCTTGTTTCGATTTACGATGTTTGACTGAAGTTATTTTTAAATCATTTTATATGACAAATAATATAGAGTTAAAAAATAAAAATTATATATCAAAATACTACATCATAAGATCTACAAAACTAGTAGTGACAACAATATTTTATTTTATCAAATTGCTAACGAAAATAGAGAAAGAAAGTGAATGAAGTTTGACCCTATAAATAGTGAACATGCAATATAATTTGGGACGGAAGAAGTAATATTTTAAGCCTAGGAGATATAAAATTATCTTGAACCTTGATAGTACATGATAATATTGTTTGTCTGATATAGGAATTGGCAGAAAACTGCTCTTTGGTACCCCATATTTTGAGAAACTAACTGTCAGGTATCTCACATATTCAAAATATACTCCGGGGTACCTTCTATTTTGAGAAACTAACTATTAGGTACCTCACATTTTTAAAATATACTCCGAGGTACCCTCTATTTTAAGAAACTAA